CAGCAGCACAAGAGAAGCCCAGCAGCTTCTCTGTGTCATTTTATGGCTGAGTATTTAAGTTTTAAGGATCTTTTTAGAGTAAGTGTGTCAGGGAAAAACACCCCTGAAGCTCTGGCCAGGGCTCAGGGTGCAGAGTGGGAGGGCAGAGTCCCAGTGGGAAAGGCTCCACACCATGAAACCCTTCCAACCAACGCTGACCACTGATCAATTCATTTTCTATTTGAAGTTCCTGGCTCAATAAAATCAGAGATTAGTTATGCTAGAGTTATTAATCCTCAGAAAGCTGAATAGCTGGGCTTTTCAGAGGGACAGCAAGTTAATGGGGTATTTTCCGAGGATTTAGAAAGGGAGCAGTTTTCTCTGGATTCATGGGCTGGCACGAGGCTGATGTGCCTGGAGCAGGGTCTGGGCTCATGCAGTGCCTCTCACATGGAGCCTGCAGGCCCTTTCCACCACGGAAAATGGCTTTTTTGGTACAACAAGAGCTTTCAGTGAAACAGAGCTTTTCTGCCAGTTCCCAGTGCAGGGGCAAATCCCTCCCCTTCCAAGCCCTCCTAGCTCTGCCCCCAGGAGCCCCAAGGGACGTGCCTGCACCCATCCCTACACCCAAACGGGAAGGGAGAAGCCTGGAAGTGAGCAGAGGGAAGGAAACCATAAAATTACCCAACTGGGCTTCTGCAAATGATGCCTGATCCCAGCCAACATCTTTAAGACATGAAAAGAAACATTGTATTTTCCCCACTGAGATTCCAGGTTGTTCAAATCTGATCTGAAAAGCTATTTTTGCTCGTCTTTGCTCGCAGCTGAAGGGAGCAGCCGAGGCCAGCGGAGCAGGAGGGCTCCGTATGTTTGTCCTTCTTAAATTCACAGAAGCTTAAAATCTGACCCCTGGTGCTGCCTGGGCACTGGGTGTCAATCAGCACCCAGCAGATGCAGGGTCTGCCCCAGCTGAATGTTAAAGCCCCTTTAACGCTCGGGCTGGGCACGGATCTGCTGCGGGGAAGTTCGGGAGAGCCCGATGTGCTGCCAACGTCCCTGGCGAGGGACGCTGTGAGGTGGCCAGGCAGACCCCAGCCTTTCCCTGCCAGATTTCTCCTAAGGGTCCCAAAAGCAGGAGAGCAGCAAACTGCTGCAGGAGGGAGCCAGAAAGAACAATGTTCCCTCTGGCATTGCCGGAGCAGGTCCTGGCAGGCGCCCGAGGCTGGGCACGGCCGGGAGCTCCGGCAGACACGAGGACGTCTCAGCCCCGACCCAGTGGTGACACGGCTGCTGCACCCTGATTAGTCCCAATTAGACCCTAATCCCACATGTTTGCAGATTGTTTAAATCAATACATCGGGTTTATTGCCGACAAAGCCCCACTGAGCATCGCCCTGTTTATTAACAACAATTAAAGGGTTCCGTGTGGAACACGGAATAGAACAAAATGGGATTGGCACCGGTTTGCTTGGTAATGAACAGCTGAAGGGCTGCAACAGCAGAGAGCAGCCGAGGGAAGGAGGAGGGAACATGCTGCAGCTGAGCAATGAGATGCCAGAGCACACAGAGCAGGGGCACGGAAAAGGATCATGGACCAGGACCACATGCAGGATCCTGGACTGGGATCATGAAATAGGCTCACAGGTCAGGATCATGGCGTGGGATCACGCACCCAGCAGACTGTCCATGGTCAGACTCACCAGCTCCCCTCCCTCCACTGCTCCTCACGCCAGGGCACGGCTTTCCCAGGCACTGCCCTGGATGGTTTTCAGGATTTGTTTCCCAGCAGGGCTATCCTGGCCCAGTGGAGAGCATGGCCATGGACTCCTCGGTCAGTGCAACAGGCGATAACCCAGCCTTGGGCACCGTGACCCAGACTCTGTCCCACAGGAGCCAGTCAAGGGCAGTGGGTTGCCCCCAGCTGCCAAAATCAGGGAGTTCAGTTGGCACTCCCTGTGAAACTCAAGATAATCCCACCAGCAGCTGCCAGCCCCTCCAGCTCCCGGAGCAGCCCAGGCTCCCCCGGGGTCCCCACATCCCCTCCTGGGGCCCCCGCTCTGCGCTGCAGACCCAGCGATGCTGAAGCTGTCACAGCGATTTCTCTGCTCATCTCAAGCCTTTCTGCTCCCAAACACGCATGGACAGACATTTCAGCAGATAACTGGGGAAACTAGGACCTTTCCCTTTGCACAGAACTCTTGTTCCAGGGCTGTGTTGCCAAAGGGGGGAACGGCACCAGGCAGCCCCAGTGTGAGGGGGAAGGTGGCACTGAGCAGCCCAGGAGAGGGTCAGGGTGCCACGGGGCACATGGAGAGGAGGAAGAGCTTGTGACATGGATCAGCCCCAGGGCATAGCTGGCTCGGGGTGTTTTGGCCCAACCCTGCCTTGGCACTCGGTTTGGGGGAGCAGCCAAGTAGCCCCCAGGGCCAGGAGCCTGCTGCTCTGAAGGAGAGTGCTTCCCACTGCCTCTCAGGGCGATGTGAGCTGGCAGGGCCCAGGGATGCTGCTCCAGCAGCAGCAAGCTCAAACTGCTCTTTACATCCCATGACGTTTTTGAGACACTGGTGGAAAGGTCTTTTGGGGAGCAGTGCATAAGGCTGTAAATTCCTGAAATGCTCCAGCTCAGCCTGTCCTGTGATGGGAGCCCCAGAGATCATCCAGCATGACAAGGGGAAGCAGCATCCCCCCATCCCTGCCCCTGCCCTGACCCTGCAGCCACCACTCCCCATTTTGGGGTGGATCAGCTCTTCCTGCTCACTCAGCATCAGACGGAAATTGGCTCCTGAGGACTCCGAGAGTGAACTGAGCTCACTTGTGCTCCCTTGGAAATCACAGGCAATAATTAAATCACTCGTGACCCAGTTGGATTAGAACTGGCATCTGTGACATGAAAACATCTTTTATCTGTGGGCACCCCATATCTAATCACCACCTGCACTGTGATTCTGTGTGGGACAACAGGGATCTGCGATCTGCCTTGCAAGGAAACGCCTAATGAGCAATGATTTGTTTTTAAGTTGGGGTCTTTCTGGCACAGAGCTAATGAATTGTAATGACACTGATTAGCACGTTTGCCAGCGATGCTCCTCTGCAGCTTTGCTCCATAAGATGCCAGCGTTCACAGCTAATGCGGGAGGAGCGGGATCCGAGGAGCCAGAGGGGAACGGGGAGACTGAGCAGCAGCTGGGAAGCCGCCTTTGATGTAGCTGTAGATGTCAGCATGAGACAGAGATTCCAGCCCAGAGGAACATCCCATCTTTGTCTAACTCAATTATTTCATTTAATCCATTGTCTTTAACCTCCCAAAGCTCCCCCAGTGCTGACGTGCCACTGGAGTCCCTTGTTAGCTGTTCCTCTCCGTGGTCTGTGCCAAGCTGAGCCTGGCACCAGAGCAGGCACCTGCCTGAAAAAGGGTGACTGCTCCCATCACCACAGGCAGGTGCATTTCCTCAGCACCAAAGGTGCTAGTTTGGCCAGTGAAGAGCTCCCAGATAACTGTGATGGGACAGGACAGGGCCCCCCAGCACCACGACCTTGCCAGCCCTGCCTGCGCCCTCCTGCCCACACACCTCAGTCCAGGCAGGAGCACAGGCAGGAGCTCGTCCTGCGCTTGTCCTCAGCTCACTGGTGCAAGGCAGACAGGGATGGTCCCCTCCTGGGACAACGCTGGAAATGAGGTTTTTAACCAAAAGCGCAAGGAAAGGTCGGCTCCAGCCACACAGAGCGGTTGCGGCAGGAACATGAGGGACAGGGAGGCACGGGGGAGCAGCTGCAGCCTGCAATCCCCCAGTGAGCAGATCCCAGCCCTGCACATGCAGGAGCCACTGCGCCCTGCCCGGCCAAGCAGAGCATGCGGGGGCCCTGGGGCTGCGATGTCTGCGCACCCCGACGCTGGCAGAGGTCAGGGACGGTGCAGAAGCACAAAGAGCAGACTGGCATGCTCTGAGATTCTTTGGCTCGTTAGGAAACACATCCTTGGACAGCCTCCCATCGAGCCACAGACAGATCCAGGGTAGGATCTGGAAGCTGCAGGCTGGAATTTATGAGCCCTGTCCCCATTAAAATAGCCAGCGATATTTCCATCTGTCAGTAACAATGATGAACAGACCTACTCCTTTGCATATCCCAGGCCTTGCCCAAAAAAAACCAACACCAGTCAGGACAGGATTTGGCACAGAGATGGCCATTGCCATGCTGGGAATTTATGGCTCCAGTCTGCCCAGTCTCTAGGAAGAGCAGGAGCAGGGAACAGGGTAATCTTTAAGGTTCTCTCCAACTCAGGGCATTCTGTGAAATTCTCAAGGTTTGCTCCTAGCGCCAGACAAACCCTCACAGCTCAGGCAGAGCAGGTCAGCCATAGTGACAGGGTGACATTTCTGGGCACATCTCCCTGCTTTTATGCAGAAAATCTGCAGAGCCAGCTGGGCCCAGCCAGGTGAACGCTGGCAGATGGCACAGAGGGCAAGTGAGTCCTTGCCCTTGCACGAGCTCCTGCCCAGCGGCGCGGCACCTGCGTGTGCCGGCATCCCTGCTGCAGCTGAAGGGGCCTCAGCACCAACATCTAAGCAGCACTTTGAATCAAACTCAGCACAGACACAGGAGCTGTGCACAGCAGGAGCCTGGAGGAACAGGGTCAGGGTGGCACCTGGGAAGCAGCATCCATTAAGCCCAGCAACCGACAGCCACTCCACCCTCGGACACGCTCGTCCCCGCTGCACAAACCGCCTACGGAACCCAGGAATACGCTCACAAAGACACAGAGCACCAGCAGCCACACTTACACATGGACAGACCCACACGTGTCCATCCCTGCGTGCCACAGCGTGGCCTATCGGGCCCCGAAACCACCTGAGGGCTGGCAGTGACAGCTGGGGGCAGCCCTGCAGTTCTCAGGCAGACCAGCAATTGAGACGCCAAGGACAAAACACAGCGTTCCCGAACTCTCCATGAGCCCAGCGAAGCAGCTGTGCCAGAGCAAGGGCAGCCTTTGGGCAAGCTCGACCTGCTGGGTGGGCTCCTACCTTGGGCTGCCGGCATCTTCCCCTTGTTGAGCTGCTTGAGGCGCTTCTGGTGGGACTTGCCGTTGTAGTGGATCTGAGCCTGCGCGGCTGAGTTGAGCTGGATGTTGCAGACCTCGCAGAGTGTGAACGACTGGTGCTTCTTCTCCCGCTTCATGCGCTGCTCGGGCTGGCTGGGGGGGCAGCTGGCCACCTCTGCCAGCCTCACTGCGCTCTCAGGGCTGTGGGATGGGCTCAGGGGTCGCTTCATGCCTGCGGGAGGAAGGACAGACCCGCCGTGAGGACAGAGGGACAGGAATGGGGTGCCACGTGAGGCCGGAGAGCCCAGTACAGGTCCCGCACCTCTGGGTGTCTGGATCCAGGGGGAATCCCTGAACAAGAGCAACAGCGTTTAGGCTAGATGACACGAGCAGCAGCATTCCCAGAAGATTAGTGCTGGAGCAGGGAATAACCCACTTCTTCCAAGTTTCCAGCTCCAGGAGACACTCCTTGTGTCAGTTCAAGTTTCTGTTCGCTCCCGGACGGCACCGTGGGTTGGCCCAGGGCAGAGTTGGGATGGAACCAACTCTCTGCAGGCAAGAGACTCAGCTGGCAGGACTCGTGTGCGGTGTGGGCGTTCCACAGCCCATCCCCACCATGCCAGGAGGACGATTGGCACCAGGGCTGCCGGCCACCAGCAGGTACCTGTCCTGAAATTGGGTCTATCTGGGACCACCCTGTGTGGGGAGCTGGAGCCCCAGACCCACACAGGGACACCACAGAGAAAAGCTGCCCAGGGAGGCACTGGGGTCAGCTGGGGACAGCCCTCCAGCGACCTTTGCCTCGCAGGGACACTGTCCCTGCTGCCCAGCCTAGAGCTGGGAGCTGGTGGGACATCCAGAACAGCCTCAGAGGCGCGAAGGTCACCCGAGCCCCATGATCCAGTTACCACCTTGGAGCTGGCAGCTGCTGGTTACAAATACCCACAGGCACGCCGTGCCGAGACACCCCGAGGGGCCAAGCCAGGGGCCAGGGTGTCTGTGGGTGGCCAGGCAGGACCCAAGGGTGCCCTGCAGAGCCGCCCCTGGCATCCTCGGGCAGGGCTGCATGGGGACTGTGCAGGGCTCAGCCACCCGTGTACTTTGGCTCAGGCAGCCCAAAACGCCGCTGGCGTGGGTGGGTTCGGGGTGGGGCTCCCCATCCACACACAGCGCTCATCAGGCGAGGGCAACTCGGTCCTCGGTCCCACCGGCGGGGTCGGGGGCTGTCTCGGGGGCGCTGCAGCCCCGGCCGCGGCCCCGCGGTGGCGCCGCCGCTCCGCTCCCGCGTGGGAGCCGGGACCGGGCACGGCGGGGACCGGGGACGGCGGCGACAGGAGCCAGCGGGTCCCCCCCTCGCGGGGCGGGGGTGCGCTGCCACCCACCCACCCTTGGGGCGAGCACCCCCAGCCCTCGGCGGGTCTCGGTCCCATCCTGCGCCTTCCCGCACCCCGGAGGCGGCCGCGAGCGTCTCCATCAGTAGTCCTGCTTAGCCAAAAGGAGCGGGAGGTCTTCCCACGAGCTGTTAACGGAGCCGGAGGCCTTTCCTGGGATAACCATTAGCAGAACAGCCGGAAAGCGGATCTGGGAGATGATCAGCGCCAGGAATGTGAGACGGGGCTTCGGAAGGCAGCAGGAACGGCGCGCTGGTGGGGACGCGCCAGAGGGGGCAGGTCGCTGGGTGCCCTTGGCATCCTCCCCCTCTCCGGGTATTTTTAATGCAATTACACCCCGGGACGCAGAGCTAAAATTGGAACATTATGTGGACAAAGTATCCCCAAAGTCTCCCTCGTCTTTAAAACAGGCACTGCTGTTGCTCTGATTAGCCAGTGACTTCTGTCCCGGCTCCCGGGGCAGCGTTTGAAGGTCTGTCCTAATTACACACACGCTTGTTGTCTCATTCACTTAATTTCTGCTGCGCCTGTTCTGCTTCTCAGGTGTCAGGGCCACAAACCGGGTGGCTCGTGGCTGGGAGGGGTCATGGGACAGGTCATGGCACATGTGCCAGCGGTGTCCTGACCAACAACCACTCTGGAGTGGATTTCACCTTTTCAGCAAAGCGCTGAGGATCTTTTGGGATGGCTGTTACCTTTCATGGGAGGGAAACTAAAACACTGTGAAGGTTAAGTGGTGCCACCCTGGTGATGTTACCCGCCTAGGGACCCTCAGGCTCCCTCCTGTCACCAGCACCAGTCCCATGGGACTTTTATAGGGTCTGAACTCCCTGAAGCAAACATGTGGGACCAGAACCTTACTCTCAGTCAAACTGCCTTCACCACGGAGCTGAGGGGATATTGCAACAGCTGATCGGGATATCAGTCCATTCGGCAGTGTGGGAGCAGAGAAAACACCACCTGAAGAGAAAGTCTGCATGAACTAAGAGAGCAAAAAATCTGAAAAGAAAAAAGAATCTGATTCGAGTTCACACAATTCCATACTACTGAATCCACCTTCCTTATTCCCGGCTAAGAACACTCAACAGTAAATAAAAGTAGTGGAAGTAGAAGAATTGGTGTGGAAGTGGCCACCAACTACTGTCACAAAACTCCCTCAAACCCCCCAAGTAAGAACCGATTTCATGGTCCCCGTTCACATCTGAAGGGACCCTCAGAATAGCCGGAAACCACAACAACCCCTCACCTGAACACAACTCAAATCACCGTGTCCCATCCCCTGAGGTTTGCACCGTTGAGCAGCTCCGTGATCCCATCATTGCCATGAGTGTTTGCACCAGGGATCCTGGCTGTGCTCCCCCTTCCAGAGCCCCCGGGGAGCCCCAGACCCCTGGGGGGAAACAGTTCCACCATCCTGCCTCTGCACAGAGTCCTCTCTGCTGGCAGAGGCAATTTCCAACCCACCCACCCGTTTGGGCTCGGGACACAGCGACGCTCAAGAGGCAGCACCTGGTGCCCCAGCCCGGCGCAGGAGGCTCCTACCTGGTGCCTGTGAAGGGAGCACCGAGCCCTGCCCTTGGCACTGCTGAGCCGAGCCGGCTCCTGCCCGTGTGCCACAGCCGTCAGGGCACCGCAGCCGCCCCTACGCCCGGAGAGTTCCCGACACTTGTCTCACATTTCAAGGAGCACTTCAAATGCGGTTCGATCGCCACTAAATCAGCCCTCATCAGCAGCCTCCGGACGAGAGCCGGGCACGTCCGAGCTGGTGCCTGAGGCTCAGCAAGTTCCCAAAGAGCCTGGAGCGTCACGCGGGGCAGGGGGTGCCAGCTGGCAGGAGGTGGCACTGGAGGAGCCAGCTTGAGCCAAGAGCAGGAGGATGCACCTGACAGCAGCTCTGGGTGATGGGAGAGACAGGGGAATGGAGCAGCTTCCCAGGCTGCCTCGAAGGTTGGGCAGAGAATTCCCCGTGAGACTTCATCAAGAGGCACTGGCTGCTGACTGGAGGGATGGGAAGGACACCGGCCTCGCTGCAGCAAGTGCAGGGTGCTCTGCTGCTGGTGGAGGAGGCCCAGGGGACCTGCTACAGCATCAGGAGTTGCTCTGATGTCCCAGCCTGAGAGCTGAGCAGATCCAGGCAGACTGCAGGTTTCAGAGGGCCCTGGCCACACTTGCAGCACTTTCAGCATTTCCTAGCACGGCATCAAACCAGCCACCCCCTAGCCCTGATACATGCTCAGATAATGCTAGAGCAAGGCACATTTTGGGATCAGTCCGCAAACCATCCCGTGTCAGAGCCAGGATTAGTGGGAGCCATCTCTCCCCAAAGGCTCCTGGCACAGGGACCAGGGCACGCAGGGGGCTCAGACAACCCACACCCCAAATGCCCCGGTCAGCTCTTACCTTCAGATGCTCCCTGGGGTTCCCCTCAGCGCTGCTCCCATGCGCTGAAGGGCGGTGGGACATTGTGCAGCCTCCCGGGAGGGCAGGGAGCATCACACCGAGCACGGTGCCACTGCGTCTGTCCTCTCCTTTGCACATCAAGATCATTAACGCCGCAGGGCTGCGTGTCCCCTGAATCAGCAGATCCCAGCCCCGTTCCCGGGCGGAGAGGACAGCTGAAACCCAGCTGAAGGAGATGCCGTGGAGGGAACGAGGCTGCTCCTCTGCAGCGGGGCAGGGGATGTGCCCATCCTCTCTGGGAAAGCAAAACCTGGGCAGTTGCCACCTGGTCTCACACCAGCAGAGGAAACAGCAAAGCAAAACAGAGGCAGGGAGTGTGGCATTCCATCCCAGGGTTCGGCTGTAGGTGTGAGCACAGTGCAGGAGCAGTGGGAGAGGAAGGATGGAGGCTCCACCATTCATCACCCTGACCGGGTGCTGCTCCCCCAGCCACTCCACGTGCTGCCAGCGGAGGAGAGCCTGGCACGGGGCTGGCAGGATCACAGCATCCTTCAGGGTTCTTGGGGTCAGCACAAAGATTAGGGCAGAGCCACGTCTCACACAGACAGGAAATAAAATACAGAGAACAGGGTATTGCACAGGGAGGCTCTGAGCCCCAGCAGCACCTCGTGCCCCCCTAACAAAGCTGCCACGGGGAAGTTCCCAGCTAAGATGATTTTCCACAAGTGCAGGGTCCAGAAGGAGATCCAAGCCAGCTCCTGGGGAGCTGCCACCCCCACCACAGACACCAACAGCTGGGCCAGCAGTGGTGCCACTGAAGGCACAAGACCACAGGCGTTGCCACGAGCACCGCGGTGGCGGCAGCGACGGTCACATTCCCCCACCCACGTGTTCCCTGGAGGCCAAAACCTCCACAAGCACTTACAGAGACGAGTGGGGTCCCAGCAAGACCCACAGCAGAGGTGGGCAGAGTCTTCCCTCCCAGATCTGCTCGCTTCTGCATCTGGATCAGGAGCTTTTCAGGGCAGAAATTGGCCTTTAAGTGAGCCTGTGGAGAGCTGCTGGCTCACAGGAGACCTCCAATTTAAGCTGGAGCTCTCACAGGCTCCTGTATTACAACGTAAATTAAATATTTGATAGTGCTAAGCAAGTGACATTTGCAGTCCGGTCATGGCAGGGGTATCAGATAGAGATATTTGCAACGGGATCCGTTTAAATCCATGTAGTGCTTTGGATGTGTCCATCAAAACAGGCCCAGAGCTTTATTAAAATAAACGTTATCAAACACCCGATCTGCTGGGGGAGGCTCTGGAGCCTGTGCAGTGGGGCC